AGGCTTATATTTTTGGCTTCAAAATCCTTTGCTAATGTCCTAATCAGTGTATTTAAAAAAAGATACTGACGCAGTATTTCTTTAAAACAATACTGTGCTGCTTTTATCTTTGCATCTATATTTTTGCCCTTGTTTTACTAGCTTGATCCCCCAGTGACCATTGTGGGGTTATATTAATACTCTGTCTTATGCCTATGTCTCATGATATTTCTAAGGAGTCTGGTTGCCATACACTGCTTATTTTCATTCAGGTGAGCCCACATAAGTTTGCACCCCCTGTGGAGTAGGCCTATTTACTGTTAAGCAAATAGCCTAGGCTATTTACTCTTAAGCAAGTTGTTCCTCTTGTGTTGCAGTGAATCTGTCATGAAATATGTTTAACACTTTGCTGGAATCTATTTATTTTGAAATTTTTGTTTGCATGATGGCAACCTGTGCTTTTTTTTATTAATTCGCTTTCATTGCCATGACCAACTTTTATAACTGCTATCATTTACTTGTGGAACTCTTTAGGAGACTTGTACTCACTGTGATCTAAGGATGATAAATCTATGACTGCATATAAATTATATCCATGAAATTACATGTGGTATGGGCCTTCTGTGTGCACATATGTAAGTCCAGTCAGGGATGTTCAGTTATGCAAAAGTGCAGTCTTTGTCTACCCTCTAACCATACAATTTCTTTCATTTCAATCTCAGCACGCAGTCGGAATATTGTCCCTTAGCTGCTCCTATCATATGTAATGAATGTGCTGCCCCAAAGGTGAAAGTCATAATTGATTAAAAACCATAATGTTTTTCCATGTCTCAGTGAAGTGTAGTCTGATATGGATGACTGTGATGTGTGTTGTGTCCTGTATTTGTGTGTATCTGCATGTCTGTGTGGACAGGATATCAAAGTCACATGTGGCTAATGAAGAAGCTGTGAGTGTTCTTCTGGGTCACAGTGTGAACATGCACAGTGAGGTCACTTCAAAGACGGGATAATGATGGATTAGGTCTGAATCACAAGTGTACTATAGTCACTGGCTCAAATCTAGCCTGTCACTCTCCATTTTATTAACAAATCATTGCAATATGATCTGTTAAAATGTGCCTGCCTTAATTTCCCTTGCCCATCTTGCTCTGCACAAATCCTTTGCGTCCAGAGTAGCGGTTCGTGGTGGGCATTTTATAAACCCTTGATGGTGATGAAATATTCTTTCATTAGTGTCCATATTTCTCCCCATGTGTTCATGTTTTAATACTCCTTATTGCTTTGTGTTGTGCCTGTGATGGTGATGCTCCTTTTCATTTATGGTTGGCTAGTTCTCTTCTGCCTTTAAAATGTACTTATATGCCCACAGGCCTAAGCTCAGTCAGTGAACAGTTATAATGAAGGAATTTCAAAGAGCCATAATACTCCAACCCTCAGAACTGTATGTGAAATAAAATGGTATCAAGGAGGGCAATACTCCAAGATTATTGAGTCTATGACCCCAGGCCTGCTGTGCCTGCTGAGTTACAGGTATGTAGAAAGCACTTGGGAAAGTCTAATTGCTGCTGGAGTAATTTTACCTCCTGTAGTGCACTCGAACACTCGGGTGCTCTCATCAACAACACACCCCAGCAGTTATAATCAATGGGGACACTGTAGGCTTGGCACCACAATGCATGTTGTGATGGAGAGGTGCAGCGTCAGGAACTACAATCGTACAGTTCAGCAGTAATTTGGGTTGAAATGATTCTGGTGTTATTCAAAGTTCCAGTGACACTCCTCTTGAATGTTGTCAGGACAAATCCAAACTACTGCCGCAGGGTTGTCTTTTAAAGCTGTATTAACTAACTTCTCCCTTTAATTTTTGACCATTAAGGGCAAAGTGAGAGTCAAAACAACTTGAGTAGTATTCCATCCTCTTCCTCCCTCTGCTTCTCTTCACCCCTCCTGGGGGGGGGACAACTGAAAAAGTCACGTTAGCATGCTTATGATGCTGACAAATACACGTTAGCCAGCTAGAGTACTTGCATGTCTGGCAGAAAGAAATCCACATCTGCATTGAATTTTAGTCCTTTAGATGCTTCTAGTGCTCTCCATCTCTGACATGCCAAATTGATGTTAACCCTGGTTTTGCTTCGTTCTGTGTCGCACTCCTTCTGTGCTACAGAACACTGCCTTTTTGGTCTAACAGCTCCTCTCCCCGATTCTGGGTTTTGTACCTGCACAGGGAGTCTCCACGGTCTGTCTTTGAAATGAGCCATACTAGTTTGAAAAACGTGTCTTATAACCTTGGATCTGCGAGGGCGTGGAAGAAATGCGGTGCCACAGAGGGCAAGGAATAAACACAAGGCCTGAAGATAGCAGAGCGGGGTGGGGGTGGGGGCCTTAGTACAGCAGAGGGATGATACTTCTAGCCATCTTCTAGCTTTTCTTGATTTATCCTGTTTTGTGGTAAATCTTAGTTAATACAGTTAATTGGATAGGAAAAATTATTTAAATAATTTAAATTCAAATTATTGATTTGTTGGACAGTTTAAATGTCCTAAGAAACATGGTTCCTCTGACGTTGCATATAGTGTTTCTAAATAAACGGCAATCAAAGATAAACTATGACTTTAATCAACAACATAAGCAATCAATATGAAATCGGATTTTGGTCCAAATAGAGTATTGCTAGATGCTGGTAGGTGATAAGAAGCACTGGAAGTGACATCATCTTTTCTCAAGTGAGTTGTGTTTATGTCAAAAGTGCAACAAACAAACAGAAATCTCTTGTGAAATAACTGTTACAAGTTTGGCAGATTATTTTGTGTTCATGTGGAACCTCAGTGTACATAGGAAGCTGACTGAAAAAATAGCTCTACTAGTTCAACTGTCAAACATAAATGCTCATTTTCTCTCCTGTGATGAATTCAGTTTTTTTTTTCTTTTGTTATAAATGAAATATCTTTGTTTTTTTGACTACTGGTTGAACCAAACAAGCAATTTTAAGATATCACTGTGGACTTGGGGAAATTGCAGTGAATATTTTGAACTCTTTTCTGAAATTTCAGAAACTGAGTGAAGGTTGATTTACTCAAAAAACTGCAATTATTATTATTAGATATTGAAAATAATCCAGTCTTAATCCAGTCTACCCTATATGTTTATGTCCATATTCACCCAGTAGGCCTACAGGTGCATAATCCAGTATACTATGCATACATTAATAAATAAAAATATTTCACCGTTATCTTGGTTGAACCAGCCAATGTCCAGGGAGCCTCATTTGTTGGAGGCTCTGTGGCAGCTCCCGTTTTACCTGGATTCTCCCATGTTTAATTAGCCTCATTATGTGATTAACTTAGCAAATTTACCTCTTACCCTCAAGGCACAGCTTTGAACACTGGAGACGACAAGCCAAAGTTATTCAGCCACTGAAACCACAGTGTCAGCATTTAGCCCGACCATCACACTCCATTGGGAAGTTTTCATTTTCCTGCAGAGATGCCTGTTTACCTCTACACCACTGACTCAACACACTGCATTTTAAAAACACAGTAGTTCATTCTGGCATATTAGCAATGTATCGTTGTTTCCTAAGAAATATTCAGTATGTGCATTATATTGCTTATCC